ATCGCATCAAGCCACTATTGTGACCGAATTTGAAGCCAAAAACCAGATTTTTTCTTGTTCCCCAAACGGAAATTACCGTTCCGTGGAACCCGGTTTCAGTCGATCAAAAACTATTGTTTTATTTGTTTGCTTGTGATTATTTTAATAAGGACAATATGACCAGCCTAACTTCAACTTACAAAATTCGATCAGCCCATTCATAATTAGCTTTAATATTTAACGTAATATTTTTGATAAAAACTTCTGTAAGATGACAACTCACAAGAAGACAACTCACTGTCCTCGGCCCAATATTTTATCGTCTCTTCTTTTGTCAGATGAACTTCATTTTCCATGTTTTCTTTTAATTATGAGAGGGCACTACTTCAAAGTTAACAGAAAATTAAAGTGTAATGTATACATATGTATACACAGTCATGGAATGAAGTCTACATACACGCCTTTGGCAAATCTGTTATGAAAATTAAAAAAGGCTATACAAATGTCAATATTTATTTTTTGAAAAATTTCTTTGCGAAACAAAAAAGTTATTTATTCCACAAAAAATATTTTTTTTCTCAAATTAATTCATTGGGCATCAAATACTGCAAACGTCGGGTCATTAAACTCATTTTCTTCCCATGATATATGTAACTAAAAATATTGGAAGAAATTTCGTTACACTCTAATATGATATTATTTTCTTTTCTAGAACGTCTCAAATATGTTCAATCGGATTACATGTGCTGACAGTGGTGGGGAATTTTTTTTCTGGAAACATTATATAAAAGTCACTCGTGAAAAACGTAGTTCGTGTGCTTTGAACCGTTGTATTGTTGAGTAAATCAATTTTTTTTAATGCATCGGGTCATGCTATACCTTTTTGGAAAGCTCATTTCACGCGCTAGCACGTGTTTGATTGATTGTCGTTTCTTTTAAGTCGTTCGTGAGTTATAGCGTCGCAAACATGGAACAAAATAAAGAGAAAATACGGCATATTGTACAGTATTACTACGATAAAAGCAAAAATGCATCTCAAGCCGCCAATAAAATTTGTGCAGTTTATGGATCCGATACAGTTTTCATTTCCACCGCACAACGATGGTTTCAATGTTTTCGTTCTGGTGTAGAGGTGGTCGAAGATGCGCCCCGGAAGGCCTATTGGTGGCGTACAAAATACAGATTGTGTAAGAACTGAAGCCGCTCGACCTTCCCAAGCGACACCACTTCGCTCTATGAGCGTTCGAAAATACCCAAGAAGATCCGACGATTTCAAGCCAAATCTGGTTTAGTGATGAGGCTCATTTCTGGCTCAATAGGTATAAAAATAAGCGAAATTGCCGCTGTGGGACGAAGAGTAATTCGACAAAGAAGTTCAAATAAATTTTTTGCGCGGAATCAAACTTCACAGAACGTTGAAAAAGTGTTTTTAATTGGTTTAAATTATTCCTAGACCCTCTTTAGATGTGTTTACGACGAAACATGTCCAGGACGGACATCAATATCAACTGATGATCAACACGTCAATAAACTAAAGGAATTTGTGATTGAGAATCGACGATAAACAGTAAAAGATCTTACTTCCATTGTTGGAATATCGGAAGGATAAAAGGAAACCCTTTTACAATAAATAATCTAAGCCTAAGAAAAGTGAAAGTTCTGGTTCCAAAATCAATAAATATTTTCGAAAAACAGCATCGCGTTAACGTCTATGAAATAATGCTTTCTGACTACCAGGATGGCATCAAATGTATTATTACTGGCGATTAGTTTTGGAACTATGCTTATTACATGGAATCAGATGATCTATTGACTGAATATTATGGCAAAGGTGCATTGAAGCCGAAAAAAAAATCAAACGCCAAAGTTTTAAACGATATCGTGCCGTGACCACCTTTTTCACCCGATTTCGTGCCTTCTGGCTATTCAGCAAAGTCAAACGGCCGCTTCGGGGAAACCATTTTGAGTCAATTGAAGACAGTAAACATGAATAGCTACGCGCACTGAAGGCTGCAAATTAACTTTAACAACACGTTTCGAGGATTGGCGCCAAGGTGGCCGACAAAGGTCTTCAAAGGAACATATCTTATTCTTCATCGTACAATTTTATGGGCATTAAGCAAATATTCAAGTGGCAGGTTCAAAAACCACTCAACAACTCACTCATGCTCTGTGCCATTCTCCAAAGATAATGCCATTAAATTAATAATAAATGCATGAATTGTAATCGCATCAAGTGGCAAAATATTGATTGATAAAATACAAATGTGGCGTACTTACATGTTGTTGTTGCAGCAACTTCGCTGCAAATCAAAGTATTTATGCAAATAAGTAAATTGTTCGCTGTTTTTGTTTTTAGCATTAAATGATTTTTATTAATTTGAATTTGATCAATAAATAAAACATATCATAAAAACAACTTATTTGATAACTGCAAATATCATAGCGCACCACAATGTTCATAATGCAATTCTACATACATATGCGTGTATGTGGTTGTGTATGTATATGGTACATACAACTGCATTTATATACATACAAATATCTATGTACGTACAAAGGCTTAAGTTGACCAGAATTATGTTTGTTCATATTATATATATATGTATATAGTAAATATGTAAGCATATTTGTCGCGCACACTGTGCCCGATTTTCATCTATGTAAATATGTCTGTTAGTTGTTATTAATGCGGTTGATGCTTGCATCTTTACGGAAATGATTTTAAATGTGAAAATTTTCAAATAAATATTTCACCTACATGTTTGTATGTGTGTGTGTGTGTGTTCGTACGTGGTTGGTAATAATTGTAGACCAGTTTATAATTCAATTTACAGCGGTAACGAATAGATTTTAACAAAATTTGATTTCGCATTTTTATGCAAATGCGTATTTTCGTAGTGAGCAATCAATGCGTGCATACAAATTAGGGTCGAGAAATTATTTTTTGCTGCATAAATACATAAAGTTGTATATATGTTTGTATGTATGTATGTATGTATGTATATGTACTGTTAAGTATTTGCGTTTGCAGACACTTGCGCTCAAGTACTAAGCTGAAATTTATATAGGATCGTTTTATTAAATATTTAATATTTTTTTGTTTTATTTCTCATTTTTACAAACATTTTCTTTTCTGTTTTAATACTAATGTATGCTGTTTTTGTTATTTATATCATTCGTTTATTATTTGCTAACACTTTTTCTTTTGGCTGTGCACGTACGAATGAACGCTTTGCATGTACAGTGTGGGTCAAAACTGTTCGTTACAGTTTAAAAAAAAAATAGAAATTTTTGAT